TACTTATTTCTCATAGCACTGAACACTCACAGTGCCTAATGTGACCTCTCCATAGGCTTTTATGTAGGCGCTTAACTTTAGGCACCCAGGCTTGAAAATTTGCCATAAGGGAAAGGCTGGGAGCCTTAACCAGTACTGAGAGGTTGCAGCATGTGGCTGTAAGAGGTTTGGGTGCTATCTGCACCAACATTTAAGCCAAACTATAAGTAAACAACAATATAATCCCAATGTATTTTAAGGGGTGAGAAGCTAGCCCTATGGTCTGCTGACTATGCATTACCCAACAATAGACTCCAGTTAGGAAGCAATATCATGATTCATGTTGATTACAGGGTTGGAAAAAGAAGTTAATTATTCTCCTGTTGACACCTAATTTGGGATTTTATGGCTACTCAGAGAATCCAGGTGCTACTATCATAAAAATAAAAAGAAGTGATTCAACACACAAGTAAAAAGTTTGGCTTAAATTGCCCTAATATGCTGACTAACAGTACCCCATAGGCACAGACCTGGATCTCTCGCCTGTATCCAATGCATTGCAATTGCAGATGACTGACAGATCATTTTCATTGGCAGTAAGACTGTGGAACAAGGTCACTCGGAGGCTTCTCTTGGGGTCTCTCCAAAGCAGTTGAGAAAATCAGTATAGTAGGAAATCTGCCTGTATTCAGAGGATTGCCATGAAAAGAATGCTGATGGCTTTGGTTTAGGTTATGTCAGACTATTCTAAGTTACAAGGTCACATTGTGTAATATCTTAAAGTCACCAGGGCATATGCTGTACTTATTTATATTGATCTTGTGCTGGTGTAACTTAACTGATCTCTTGGGAGATGCTTCAGATTTACACTGACTTAACTGAAATCAGAATCAGGCCCATTCTAGTCTTCTGGTGTGAAATTCAAACCAGGTATATGTCAGCAAAAAATGTATGCAGATGAAATAATACCTCACAAAAACTCACTGGTACTTACACAAATGAACCTCTACTGTCCCATACCGTGTGTGGTCATTTTTGCCTGGTCACACTATTAAATCAGAACAGTACTATTTAAGACCAACTTTGCACTGATATAAATTACTGAACAAGCAGAGAAGAGAGTGAAAATTTACTCAGAATTGTATTCTTAAATATAGTATGTCCCTTAAGTTAGAAACTGTCATAAAGAGATACATCATGAATTTCAGAACACTCATAAACTATCAGGAAGATGCGTGGCATTAAATCTTCATGCAATGACTATGTATACTGGCAAGGAATTTGCTTTCCTCAGAACTTGCCCTCCAATTTCATTGTAAAACAGCTTGCACTCACATAAAAGATATGATACACTTTCCAACTAATGCAGTTTTCTCTACTCACATATATGTCAAGAGTTGTTAAGCAAGATAGGCCTCATTCTGTTTTCACTTGTGTCAACCTAAGGCCACTGGACATGAGCCTCCCATCATAAAACTAGAGTGCCTGCTGTTTGCCACTAGGCCATTGACTTGAATGTGATTTACATTGATGTGAAAGCAGGATCAATCCTATTATCTTTTCATATCCCATCACAATGACTGGTTACAAGAAAAGGGGAGAAAGTAATTCCTCGTCTTTCTTTACCAGTTTTAATTCCATGTGATCACTGTACTGGCCCTAGGACACCGAAAGAGCTTAACACATACAGCAGGTTTTAGCAACCTGAACACATTAAACTGATCAGACTCAGATCTGAACCATTTACATGAAGCTGCTATGAGTTTTCAGAAAATCCACAAGCATAATGTAAATAGTTGTTCACCCTCCAACTTACAGAGGCTTGAAAATTCACAAGATGAAAACATACTTTCATTCTCATTTCTTCAGCTACAGCACATTTTTAGTTTCCTGGTAAAGGCAGCCATGTGGAAATACTTTAGAAAGGAATGGGTTTCATTAGTTCTTCTGAATCATTTCAAGGGTCTAAATAGCACCAGCCTTTTAACATAGCTAAAGTGAACAGTAATTCTGCCCCAGGAGATCCTCATTGTATTTATTTGCTCTCTATGACCAAGCAGAAATTCAAGATGGACTCTTAGAACAAAGTCAGCTTTGTGGCACTTGTCAACAGAGCTTTATTACTGTTTTGATCCTGATGGCTGGCTAGATAAAAGGAGAAGTCCCTGTAAATCACACAATGGATGTAATATAATAAGTTGTCTATAAAATTGCCGTGAGCAAGGGAGAATGATATTACTTCTTTTTTCTTTCTTTTTCTTTTCTGTCTGAATTATTATTTTCAAATCTCTTGTAACTCTCTGTATTAATTCCCAGCAATAACAATGGCACCTGCAGGGAGGATGAAAGGGAACAGGAGGCAGGAGGGATCCACATTTACCTTCTCCCCTGCTGTGGCCTACTAGAACTATGATTTGATCCATTTCTGTCTTTCAGGCTTTGTATATCTGTCTGCACACTTTAGCGGAGTAGATTGGTGGTGCTTGAATACTTATGTAAAAGGTTGGGAAAAAAGATAAATGAGATCAATCTATTGGAAAGGGGATCTTGCAAGGAGAATTTTCCTTTTAATATGGAAAAAAAATTGTGAGTTTGTGATACATTTGGGCTTATTGTGCTTTCTTATCTCACTGTACCCTTATCCTTTTACACATATGCAAGGTGACATTCCCAGATGAAACCCTGCTGCCCTTGATACTTAAATAGGTACATTTACCTTCAAATAACAGGGGATTTCCAAGCACCATAGAACTAGTTCCTACGTTCCAAAAGTTTTTTGTTTCCTATGCATACACACACATACACACATATATATTTCCATTTCATATAGATATATATATAAACACACACACACACATTTCCATTTCATATATATACACACACACACACACACACACACACACACACATATATATATATCTCCATTTCCCAATTCACTAATTCACTGGTTCAGGGAGGTTTTAAGAACATATTTGACTTAGAGCAAATGGGTAGATGATATCAAGTATAATATTGGGGTTGTTAAAAAATCAGGCTTAAATGTCTTCTGGAATCATTGCCTAATATGGCATATTAGAAATATCTTGTACAAAAGAATTAAATTTTCCATATGTATTTTTGACATTATCAACTCTTCTTGTCTTTGCAATGGGGGATCACAGTATGTGGGGAATACTAAATCCACAATTGGAATCTTCTGTGTAGTGACCCGAGAATACTTCACCTCTGACTGGCAAAAAGGCGTTAAAACCTCTTGTTAAAAACCTGCTAAAAAGACCAGCTGCTAAGTAGTACTCTTGCTCACAGCATAAAATGTGGTGAGTCTTTAGCAGTATATCAGACTTAAAGCTGAGCACACGCTTAAGTGATATGTTATATAGGCATGTTATCCAAATCAGGAATTAGAGTGCATACAGGTGAAACTCCATGAATGTCAGTCATGGATATCAATATATTTACTTACTCCACCAATAAGTATAGTGCTCTGATATCAACGTGAACCAAAGCATATAACTTCTCCGCTAGCCATAAAAATTCCATGATTAACCTTCTTTAAAAATCTGTGGTTGATCATCTTATTAGAGATCAGCTGCTAACAATAGAAAAATACCCTACTCATGTCACACTAATGCCACTGCTTCAGCAAGAGAAAGCCATTGCTGCCTGCACATAATTAAACTGAGTTCCAGGGGAATCACCAATTGGAGATATGTGAGCCACTAAGGTGAGAGGAGGGTACTTTTTTGTCTGAGGGAGAACAGTTGAAAATCTTACCCATATTTGATTGTGGTACTATCTAAAGGTAGCAGCTGAAGCCTTTCAGACACCACAATGATAAGTGCCCCCTAATTGGGCTAGATGGATGACTACTGTTAGAGAGAGCAATAGGTAAATTGTTCCCTGCACATGCCTATTTACTTTGTCTCTAAGTAAACACACCTATTGTTCCACATCCAGTGAAAAAATTCTTTGATTTCTGCCTGTTTTGTCTTGCTCATCTTGATGTACAGTTGTTTCCTCTGTAAAAAAAAATGTGTCCATAGAAAACTTGAACTTTTTGCAGTAAAAACACATACCTGAAAACATAGTTTTTCAATTTGTGTTTGGATTTGAGTTTAAAACAAAGCAAAACAAAATTGGTGAAAAGGCACAAACAGAAACCCTTCTGGTTTGAAAATGCTACCATGGTGCCTCATATAAATTGTTAAGGTGCTTTCTATCCCAAGTCTGCTCTGCAGATGGGCTACCCAACCAGGCTAGCTCTCCCATGATGTACCAGTCATAAACAATCCAGAGTGGGAGCATGTTTTGCTTATGTACAGTGGTCAGCAGGATATCTGGGACATGTATATTTAGAAGTTAATCTTTTCTGAATCAAGGCCATAGATAGTACAGTGATTCATGTGTATTCAATAATTAGGTAGGGGGATAACTGACAACTATTTCCTGACTCCACTGTCAGACCACCTTCATGAATGACATTTCCTAAGTCAATAGGTTTTCTCCAATCCTCATCTGCTGCTTTTAAGGCCTTTCTGTCTCTCACACCCTGTCTTGTTGTTTAACTAATCTGGGTTTGTGCTGTATCTAATTATATTCCATTAGGATCCAGACAATCAATCAGTGTAATTTGTAGCAAAGCCTATTTTAAAATTATTTTTGGAATTATATTTTTTTACTCTGTGAATATTTACTTACTAAATTTCAGATGTATTGGATTGTCAGTGTATTTCAGGAGGAATTTCCACGTGGATGAAAGGAAATAGATACAATCTCTGTTATGCATATGCATATAGAATTATAAAACCAACCTCTTTGGATGCAGACACTTGGAACACATTAAGTTGTTCTCTCTGCTCTACCTCATATTGTTCTAACATATAAAGACTGAAAAACTTAAATCATTTCAAGTTTTTATGCCCATCCTTTATGACTTTCTAAGAACATTTCTCATATAACATCCAATTTTATGATAAATATTTGAAGCATATTATGTATTTTTCCTCTTTTATATAAAACAGCCCCTCTTAGCAACATTGCAGCTGAACAGAAAGATGTGGAAGCAAACAGCAGAGGGAAATCCAAACTCTTGAACCAGCAGGTATAATGAATACATGGTCTTTCCATGCTTAGATTTGCTCTTGGGAATAGAGCTGCACAACAGATATAAGTTGGTGAGAAATATTAATGTACTTAGATGAGGGGAAAGGCCTGGATCACTCTTTGTAAAAATAGCCCTCATCAGTTCTTAGGTCTCACTATGATCAGGGTAAAGCATGAACAAAATCAATAATGTTAATAGCATTGCCTCATATTATAGGAAAAAATCAGGCCCTGAGATAATTGCATGCATATATTTTGAAGCCATTTTCAGAAGATGCTGCTTAATTCGTTGCTTTATTTATTCTTTTTGTTGTTGTTTTTACTTTCCATTGGTTTCTAGATAATGGTATGAAGACCCAAAGGCCTGCCTCCTCCCTATCAGCTTTAGGGTTCTATGAAAGAAAAAGGAGGGAACATGCATGTCTTTGAGTTAACATGACAAAAAGGATTGTGGGGGTTTTATTATTAATATACAGTATAAGGGGTGTATATATGCAATATATACTGGAACTACTAGAAAGTTCCCTTTTACTGGAACTACTAGAAAGTCATTGACCTTGTGCCTGTGGGAAAATATACTCTGATACAGTTGCTTCCAAAGGTAATAAAACACAGTTGAACTCTGAATATCAAAATAGAAGCCCTGTATTCTCTGTTAGAGGCTGTGAGATTCACACCCATTAAAATCTCTGTTCCCACTTTGAAAGCTTCTGAGTGCATATCTCTGCTTAGGGTTGGTAATAAAGTTGAACTTTGGGGTTGATGCAGCCATCTTTTCACAAGAATAGCATGGCTTCCTACATCCCAGTTGATTGGCCTTCATTTTTTATAACAGGGAAATAATGGCTACCAAATATTTTTGCCCATTAGACTGATGAATTGAAACCATCAACATCCACTCCAGAAGCCAAGGATCCCAAAAAAGATTTTTCTATTGCGGAGGCTATTTCCCTGAGACAAAGAGTTGATGCAATAGAAATGGTAAGCTATTTCTAATGAAATAGAGCTATTATTTCATAATAGAACAATTATTCTGATTCCCCCAATGCTTTGAGTGATTTCCCATGATGAACTTTAGGATCCAGAGATACCAAGTAACAGGACGGTTCCTTTCTTAGAGACAGACTTAGAAATTCAGGGCAAACTTGGACCTAACTTAAAATCCTATGTAAAGATGTAGCAGTGCTGCCCTTGGAGTAGCCTTGGGAAACTCCAGGAGGAAAAATACTTACTGTCTTTTTTCTAGTGCTTTATGGTGAGGGGAATAGAGCCAAGGCTCTGCCCAACCACTCACCATGGAATTTGGAAGTCATGGAGCTTTCTTTTCCCCTTTTTTATTAGAGCAGTGACCCAAGCAGATTGTGCAGTGGGTCAAAGTGTGGGGCTTAGGTGCCTTTATTCCCTGCAGAGTTGTCTAGGATAGGTACAGACATTCAAAAAGCCCAGGGTGGAATCAATCTAAGTTATGCAGTTTTCTCTAAGCTGCATGATTTAGATTCATAAAGGTCTTGAAGAATCAGAGTTGTATGTGAAGTATGTCCGGAGAGCTTCATAGATATGAGCACTATTTGTGACCCTCCACCCCTTTTGATTTTATTTATTTATTTATTTATTTATTTACTTACTTACTTATTTATTTGCTTTTAGGGCATTAAATCCTTACAGATGATTGATTCTCAAAAACCTGAAGGAATGAAATCAATGCAGTTTCAGCAGAATGGTGAAAACAGCCCCAAGGAAGAAACCCAGGTACTTTCTGCCAAACCAGCTGATTGTCTTATTAGAAGAAACAGGATTTCAGCTAGGAAGCACAGTGGCCGCATCTACATGAGATGCTGACCACGCAGTCATTACTGACCTGTCATTTAGTACTTGTCTAAACAAGTTATAAATGACTGCACAGTAACCGAATGGCTTTTAGATGACACTGACTGTTCAGTAGTTCGTTATTATGCAGTAACGTCGCACTGCATGAACCATGATTCAATGCTACTGTACAGTAGTAACAAGCTACTGCATGGTCAGCATCTCATGTAGATGCAATCTGTGTGCATTAATCCTAAAAAAGTTCATAGTGCCAATACTCTTAACAAAAAGTAGTAGCCAACGGCTTCAAAATGAAACTATCAGTGATATGCTCAACTGGCCCAGGTTACATGTAGAATAGTGAACAAATGTGTCATGCAATATGAAAAGAATTGTGGGGGTGTGGAGATGTGTTCTCCACTGCATTGCTGCTAGCTGGTGGTTAGTCACTTACACCTGCTAAGAGTGATCTGGGACCCAAACATGATCTAGGACCTGTGCTTGAAGCTTTCAGTGATAGTTTCACAAGAAAACCACAAGAAGTGTAGCCCTCTTAGCCTCAGATTATAGGCAACTTCGGCCATAATAGTATCCCTGTAGAACTGTTACCAACCAACAGAATTTAAGGTGTATGAGGGGCCAGACTGACCACTGGATGGTTTCAGAATCAGGGGAAAAAACTAAATATGGTATAAAATCTGCATCAAGTACTGCTTGACCTGACTTGCACACCAGAACCAGTAAGTATAAAGTCCTTCCTTCCTTCTTATATCCTTGTGACAAAGTATTTAGACTTGTTGGAATCTAACAGGGCCATGCTGTAAGTGTTTCTGCTATGCCCTCAAACCTCAGGGCTGTCAACCTTATGCCTTAGCACCCATGTGACCCCACCCCCAAGTGTAAGGTGAGGGTAAGATCCAATGAGATCAACTGTAAGTACTAAATCAATATTCCTGGTACAGTAGGCCCTGATGATGTCCCATTTATTTGGATGTATTTTGTTACCCCTGCCAGGACACAACTAGTATCTGACAGCAAAAAGACTGGTGACCTTTCTTGGGTATTGGATTACAGCTCTCTTTATATAAAATGAAGGCTGCAAGACCATGCGGTTTCAGGTCTCTTCTCAGATCATTGCTCAAAAGGGACAGAGCTGGGTGATTTATTTGCAGTGATGAATTCATTTAACTTTTAAATCTCTTTTATTGTTTGTGGATTATCTGCAAACAGACTTGTTTCTATTGTCTTCATTACTCAAAAATATCCAATGACTGGTTGACTTGTTTATACAAACATATTACTACCCAGGCACTCTCACAAATTATTGGTCATGATTTTTACATTGAGTATTAATGGTTTATGCAGTGTCATATAACTCAGTTAAAGCACACTATATTATTGCTGATTCCTGATTGGATGATTCTTAGTTTTCCAAGTTCTGGGTCAAGACGAAAAGTCATGTCCAGGAATAATCAAACAACTCTAATTACCATTTTTTTAATTGTGAATAAAATTTTACTTGTGGAAAATTATTTTGGAAAATGAATAAACAGGGTTGTTTTCTGTTTAATTTACTAAGCCATTAGAAAGAGTGAAAAATTGGTTCAAATAGATGGTCACAAATACATTTTTACAGTTCACATAAATATGCAGAAAATAAGATAACTGTGTTATGACCTTTTCAGATGATTTTAATATTTTCTATATATCTTTGACAGGGCACTTTTGGGTGCGTGCCACTTTAAGGTTTAGAACAGGTAGCTTGCAGGTGCAGGCCAGCCCTGATGAGGCAGCCATTTTAGGTTCAAGCCCACAGGGCTGGGCCAGCAGTTTGCTGCTAGCATCCAAGCAGGCAATATCCAGCTGAGCTGCTGCTTGTAACATCTTGGAGGTAAGGGCAGGAGCTATGTGGATGGCAGGAGGCTCCTCGCCCTGGGTATGACTGAAAACTGCACCCTGCCAGGGAAGGGCGGACTGGGGGAGCTGTCTGTGGTGGGACAGTCCTCCAAAAATGCCAGGTCAGTTACCTCCCCAGTGAAAGGTGAGGTGGGGCACCTCAAAACCCCAGCCCCCATATCCTGGTGGGTTACCCAGGCTTAGGGACAGGCATGGGGACCAGGCAAACCTTCAGGGACCTGAGCCCCACAGGGGTGAAAGATCCCATAGACCCCAGGGAGGGGACAGAGGTATGGCTTGGATAGAGTGGGGGCAGTATTGTATGTTGGGCCTGCACAGAGTAGGGGACGTCATCACAACCTGAAAGACTATATGTAAACATAGTGTAGAGTAGGGCTGAAGGATGGCCAGAAGGACAGCACATGGGCCAAACCCCCTCTTCTTTCCCAGAGTACCTGAATGTAGAAAGTCACCCAATGAGGGGCTAGGGGCAGAATCAGCCCAGTTTTGTAAATTAACTGGTCACTTCTACGATGAGGGTCATGGAAAAGGCCTGAAAGGCTGCACCATGGCCAGCCAAGGAATGAAAGACAAGCCTGATGGCCTACAAGAGCTGCTCAAGGGAGCAGATCAGGGTGTATGTGGCCCAGTGAGGGGCAGTGTGTAGGAGGCCTGGTGAGGGAGGCCAGAGTGGTTGAAGCCTCAGTGAGAGGAGCAGTATGAGTGAGGCTCAGAACAAGGCAGTGTGAGAGAGGCCTAACAATGAACTGAGTTTGGCCCGGCCTCAGGCCAGAGCTGTAGTAATAAACTGGATGCCATCTATGAGATATGGCACATGATGAGGGGAGGTAGGAGTTGTGTACAGCACCCCCTGGCATTGGGGCATTAAAATGGACAGCCTCCTGTATTTATACAGCAGTTTGGGAAAAAGCAAAGTCGTAGCAGGAGAGACTATGCAGACTGCCCTACTTAGACAGGTGGGTGGGCCAACGTAAGATCCCAGCCCCGAGATGGATTGGCCCCCGTCACAATATCTATTTAAATAAATTGCATAAATAGTCCTTGAATTAATGTCACATGTATATATATGCATACTCACAAAGGAAGTGGTTCAAAGATAAGTGACAAGAATTACTAAAGGTCTGAAAAAATATGCATATGAAAAAAGGTTTAAAAGCTTTGAACTAGTTATTTATAGAGGAGGTAAAAATGCAGCATATACTAAAAATAGAAATCAAAATGGTACAGAAGGGGTAGATAAGACATCTTTTCTCCAAGTAGAAAAAAAAGAAGACACCATCCAATTAACTAAAAATAAGAAAATTTAAACCAGTAAAAGGAAATACATTTTCCACAAAATGCATGTGTGGCTACGGAATTCATTGGCACAAGGTACATTTAAATGCAAGGACTTAGCAGTTTTCAGGAAATGTCTGGATACTTCTTGGAAAAGAAGGCTATACAGATTAGAGTACTTACAACATTTTCAAAGGTTTTGGAAGTGTTATATACTCTGACACTTCAGAATATAAGCCAGATTACATGTAGTGTGGAAAAAACCTGCCCTATGGGAACATTATCCAATACATGTTTATGGCAGCATTCAAACACATTTCTTTTAAGCAGCTGGTTCAGGACACTTTCAAAGCAGGATAGTAGATAGGAGATGGCATGGAATCTATTCCCAGGCTGTGTAGACTTTGTTCTAAGTACAAGTAGCCCTAGAATTCATGGCCTACTGGTTCCCAACAGAGTGTACTTCTACTAAACATAAGTATATTTTGATGGGGGCGAGCAGGAGGAGAATAATCTTTCTCCTCTTTTTCCACTCAGTTTTGTGTATGTCCTGAGTATGATTTGCTCTACATATAAAATTTGGTAGGAAAATGTTGCTTGTTGATGCACAGAACATAAAAATCTTGGTGCATGCTGCCAAAAACTGAGCATTCCAATGTCAACTTCAGAGTGATGGTAATTTTGACACCTTCTAATGTGGCCAGATCTGAACAGAGGACAGCAAAGAGCTATCCAGCATCCCAAGATTATTACCCTAATAAATGTTAAGGCCCCATACAAACCAGAGAGGCTTTATGTCACTTCAAAAACCAGGCCACTGAATGGAAATCTATAATTATATAGATTATGATAATATAAGGTGCATACAGATGTTCCCACGACCCAATTCTACAATTCCATGGCTTACTTTCAGCTGTACAATCATAGATTGGGTCCTGTTTGAGCAGATATCTGCCAATGCTGGGAGCCACACCAGAAATACAATCTAAGTAAGTTGGGGTGGGGGAAGGGGCAGACAGGATTGGGGGAAGGGGGTAGTATGTCCTCAGGGGAGTTTGGCAAATCCAGGCAAGGGGAGTTGGTGGAATTGGGGAGGGGGCTGCGGGGTCCAGGAGGAGGGTCGGTGTTTCTGGCAGGGGAGCAGCGTGTTTGTCCAGGATAGAGGGAGATTGGGAGGCTAAAAGTAGTCCAATCAGGGAGGAAAGGAGTAGGAAGAGCACAGCCTCAGGGCTGGGGCAAGTGGCTAGGCTTCCCTATCCATAGGACTTTACTCCAAATGTGTGCAGACATTTGATAGATCAGGCTAACCTATGCCAAATATAACTTAGAGCACTTCCTCAGGTGAACTAAGTTGGATAGAGCCAGCCATTTTTTTTGTCCACTCCAACTTCCCTGAATGTTTGTACAGATCAACTTTCAGGTTGACCTAACCCCAGTTAAGCTAAGCAGGGTTAAGTTGCTCTAAGTCTAATGTCTGCACATACCCATAAGCTATATTTTTTTATAGATAAAATTATGAAAAATGGAGAGTACCACCACTGAGGAAAAACAGTCGAAGAGTAGTTCATAGATTCATAGATGTATAGTTGGAGGGGACTTGAGCAGATCATCAAATCTCACCCCCTGCCATGGGCAGGAATGAAAACTGGGCTCATATGACCCCCACTAAGTTAAGCTCATATGACCCTAGCTAGTTAGTAATCAAGTCTCCTTTTAAAGACCCCTAAGGTAGAAGCCAGCACCACTTCCCT